GGAAGTATATCTGAAATCTAAGACCGCGTAACAAGTTGCAAATTGTAAAATATATCGCAGCCGAATAACGTAGTTTTCCTTTTAGATTGGGATATAAAACATGACCTTTGAGTTATAATTGTGATTTTTTGCATTTTAGCAAGAAAACAATTTTATTTTTAATCCAAAAAGTCAGAATCACGAGAAAAATGTCTCAGACCTGGGCATGGGTGTGTGTTACATCTTTGGGTCTCTTCTGCCGGACCAGAACATGGGTTTCCATCGTGAGCTGGGGGTGGGTTGGTGCAAGTACGGATTCTCTTCTGTGTCCCTCCACCACAGGTCCTGCTGCACGAATACCAAGGTGAATAGCCACTCCATCCACCATTTACTGAAAAGCATTTAAATAATTCATTATAAATATTAAACCGGATTAATTTGTCTTCTCATTTCTTAAATAATCTAGGTGTCTTACTCTATGTGTTTAGGTGTCTATGTGTCTAGGTGGAAACTCAAATTGCTATTCATCTTCTCGAAAAAAAATTTTCTCTCTCAACTTTAGTCTCTTCGTCACATGATTATGACGTATGATTTAGATAGGAAGCCAAAAAGATAGTAATATGCGTCTAAAGTAACTAACAGAAATATAGCGACAGCATTATTGTGATGTAATCGGCAAGTCAAAAAGAAATGGTCTCACTCCTGCAAGTATAGATCCCTTGCATGTGACGTCAAAGTAGCTCGATCTGGGGGGACAAAACAAAAGAATTCGGTCAATCTCCTGAGAATTGGAACCTATTGTCTTGTCCCCAAATTGAGCATTTGTTTTGTTCACAAAGTGCTGCAAGGGGTATATAATGGGGCAATGGCCGGTGTGTTTGTTATTTATAAACGTTCTTGATCCACTACAATTAGTACACGACCCCAAACACGTGCGCGCTGGTGCTCTTATGGCTGCGCATGCCAAGATATTCACATTATTATAAAACGTCCCCCTAGAGATGTGTCGAGCTACTAGGAAAAAACCGCCTTAGATTGTAAATATCCAATGTCCGTAAAGCCAGTGTATGAAAAATTTACGCATTTTGTGTTTTATCGGGACCTACGAAATGGTACATAATAAATAGGTTTTCTTATTTAACGGGTGTCCTTATTAAACGGGTGCCCATAAAGCAGGTGCCACTTTAATTGAAGTCGTATTGCAAAATATATTTTGTAGCATCATTTACTATTTTATCCTTGGAGTCCTGCCTAGTTTTCAGGCGTAAGTGTAAGTCGAAAGAAATTATGTACTATAGATTAAGAAATCCTTTATTTCAAAATAACTGAAACACAAAGAATATATCCAAGTTGTGTTTTTTTTTTTTTCAGTTTTTTTTCTTTTTCTTTTTTCTTTTTTTTTCTTTCTCGATCAATTCCCTGCTCAGTTCCCATACACACCCCAAGTAGTCACAAATGATTTAAACGATCTGATACTCATGCAGCAAAATTACTTTCTTCAGTACTTTCTGCATGAGTATCGGATCGTGAAGATTATTTGTGTTTGCATGTATTTTCGCCAACAATTCAGCTGTCAGTGTTCCTTGAAGTAGCACTCACTTTCGGAAGCGCAGCTTTAAAAGACTTCTTCGCTCACRTCAAAGTGAGGTATAAAAAATAGCTCCAAATATCTTCAACTTTGAGCAGATTATCATTTTGCGTTTAGTGTTTTAACTGTAAAAGGAAAGTTAATTTCGACCAAATAAATGGGAAACATTTAGTCATAACCTGGGGCATTCCGTGTTGTAAAACCGGCATTTCATATTTATGGTGACCATCGATTGCATGTCAAACGCGGAAACCGTGAGAGAAAAAAGGGTTTTAAAACTGATAGTAACWGAGAAATTAATATTTCATGTTTTTGGATTTTTGCTTACCATCTTGGCATTTTTCTCCTTTGCATCCTTCTTTGCACTCGCAGTGGTATTCCATCCTGTTCTCGTGTGGTACGCACTTTCCATCGTTAAGGCAAGGATTGTTTTCACATGGTAGGTTCTATCAAACAAATTCCATACCAATAGAATTATGATCAGCAGATTCTCATAGTACACTAAATGTCAAATCTTCGATGTCCAGATACAGGCTCTGATCTAAGTCAGGGCAAGGCTAACTCACAGATCAAACCCTGAAACAACCTCTGGGCTGATCTAAGTCAGGGCATGGCTAACTCACATATTGAACCCTGAAACAACCTCAGGGCTGATCTAAGTCAGAGCATGGCTAACTCACAGATCAAACCCTGAAACAACCTCTGGGCTGATCTAAGTCAGGGCATGGCTAACTCACACATTGAACCCTGAAACAACCTCTGGGCTGAACAAAGTCAGGGCATGGCTAACTCACAGTTGCTTAGAAGAAGCTAATGTCAGTAACATATTGTTAAGATGGACAGGTCTTTACTTTACCCTGGTAAATTTTCACAGGCTTAATGACACCTCACTATTTCAGATCAGTTGGAAGGATTCAACATGATGAACGGCATCTCACCAATGGATGTGGAAAATTTTCTTTATTTTGTGTGAGCTTTGCCGGAGGCTACTCCTCTCAATTATCTTACCTTTATGTCCATATGAGTAAAGTTTTCGTCTTGGATCAAGTACTCAGGGCTTGTATTGTTATCAGTTCCTATCAGCTCGCAAATGTGATGTTTGTCTATCTCAGCAGTGATTTTAAAATTGATCGAAMGACACCAAGACGTTTCAACGCAAGCGAACACACAATCCATCTTGCTGGACACTTTGGTGGACATCTGTTTGACTTTGGTCATGTTGGCAGGTAAAGACAGAATGTAACCAGGATGGTTATCAAACAGAAATCCTGGATGACGATCATCTTGTGAGATGGTTCCAGTGATGCAGAATAATGCTGAAAGAAGAGCTGCGAGTCTCATGGTCCTTTCCTTTAAGGTATCGGTCACTTCGAACGTCGCACTTGAAGTTAAGTTAAGTCAAGCATCAAGGTTGTGTGGCTTTAGCTAAGTTATACTGCATCATTTATTAAATATTAACGATTATAAAGCCATTATAGCTTTCTTTCTAACAATTACAAAGCCATTATCTTCGATATTAATTAGTATCCTTCTCAATATATCTAATTATTATTGTTATAGACAAAGTGTTAGATTACTGCAAATTGTGTAATGCATATAGTGTTTTTGATTCATTATTAACGATCTCTTAACATGCGATCCTCGATATATAAATTAGTATACACCTCATTTCAAAAAAAAAAAAATTCTGTCCTAGATCTGAAATGAGCGATCTGAAACAAGAARTAATTTTTCTGGCAAAAATAAGAAAGTTCACATTTCTAACTAAAAGGACATGCTTCATATTCCAATCTAAGAGGAAACTATATTGTTCGGTTGTGAATACAGTAAAAACCCGCGAGTAAGAACCTACATTTTTTAGAGTTAGCCTTAACAAGTTCTTGTTTAAATGGTAGTTAACACAATTTTAGGCTATCTAAGTTCTTAAATAGGTTCTTATTTCTGCGTAAAAACAAATAAAATCCAGCTACAAGACAAACTTTAAATGGGTAATCAGCCTATTWTTCAATCAACCCCACCCCTTATAATGCAGTACAATTAATATCAACCTTCCTTCACTTTACGTTTTTATTACATTAATTTATTTATCTGCACAGCAATGGCAAGCTCCTATTTTTCCAAACAGGATTCTAACCCAGCTCTGCATCACTAAATGATGATTTTTGAAAATAAGAACCTGCTTTTCATTTTCTAGGCTRAATAGGTTCTTGTTTAAAGGGGGTATAAATGACAAATTTGTGGCTAACAGGTTCTTAATTTTCAAGTTCTTACTCGCGGGTTTTTACTGCATATTACATATTGCAGCGTCCTACTGGGTCTCAGATTTCAGATTCCAGATCTTCGAAGGACAACGTTTTATAACTGAATAGGCGTATACCAATCAATACACCTATTTTTTATTAGTATAAACAAAGTTGTAGACTATTCTAAATTCGTGCGTTATGATTGGCTGAGTAACCTACTGATCCATTTCTTATATCAAAGGCAGAGAAAAAGCACCCGYTTTTTAATTGATGAAATTAGAGAATCAGTTAAAATCTGTTTCCTTCAGTGATTAGTTTATGCTAAAACAAATAGACATCTCCAATAAACAAACTTGCGACTGGAGGAAACAGATTTTAATTGATTATCTGATGTCATCAGTTCAAAAAAAAAAAAAAAAAAAAAAAAAACGGCGCGCCATAAATCATTCAATTAAATTTTGCTCAAATAATTGTGTTCTGGCGCTATAGTTATTCATTTACCGACGGAGGAACGGACGTCTGTGTAATTTAACCTCCTTAAGGCCGATTTAGATACGATTTTCGCCTACAACTATCGCATACAACACGCTC